GAAGAAGGAATCAACTTACAGGACAATGATAAAAATTATGCTAGTAGAATTCAGATTTCAGACACAGAAGAAACCATGCACAGGCAAAAATAACTTTGTTTTTCCCGAACAACAAATTCTGATTTTTATTTATTTATTTGTTATTGAGACTAGGGAGAGAGAAGTGGAGCTGGTAAGGGATCTGTATTGCTTGAACCTTAATCTATCAGTTTAAACTTTCAACAACACTCTCTGTCATGGTATTAGACCCTGACTGGCATGAAATCCAGTGTTTGAATTATTACTGATCTCATTTTATATTGGATTCTGCCACACGGTCTAGTTGGTGAGACCAGTACCTAGAGTCTTCGACCACTTGTGAGGATGTGCTATAATCTATTTGCTAGCTGAGACCTTTACTGTTTGCTTAATCCTCAGGGTTGACATTATTCTTATTAGTTGGGGATTGTTTCTGAGGCCAAGCTCTTACGTGGTTTTCCATTTAAGTCCTCTATCAACTAATTTGCAGCAGCATTGTTGTTAGTCCACTCGTTGCAATTTTGTTGTGCTGGTGTCGGTTTACCTATTTTTTTCCAATTTTTTGTTGTTCACTATATAACAGTTTTAGATTGCTGGCTGAACTGGAAAGATGATTACACTTGGAGGTGATGCCAAACTTGAACTGGTGGATTCTCTGGATCCTTTCTCTGAAGGTGTTGTTTTCGGTGTCAGACTACCAAGAAGAGCTGGAAGAATATTGCTAACTTATCCGGTGGTGAAAAGGTTATTGTCCTTGTCATTGGCAGTCCATTTGTTAATGCAAAACTTGCTTTCCCTAATCCTTCTTCTTTATTAATTATAATTTTAAAATTGTTGAAGAAATAGGGTAGAAAATCTGCAAATGGCTTCAAGACGTGTTGCAAATACCACTTTTCTTTAGGCTAATTTCTCCTCCACCAGATCTGATATGCAAAAGGAGTAACCCGAAATACGGATACAATGAAGCGCCTTGTTGATCTTGTTTTTGCACTAGCAAAATCAACCACTGAACTGTCCTTTGGAAAGCGACAAAACAATAGTTTTTGTACAAGGATTTCTACGGCAATCGAAGCGCAAAAATGGGTTGTTTTATTTAGATAATAGTAGGCGTTTGTTTCTGAGTTCAAGATACGAAGAAGAAGAAAAGATAATTTCATATTTATAGAGGCAAGATATCTGTTGTGAACAGACGCTCTTTTTTAGTTATTATCAGTTTATTAATGGATAATAACTGAATTATCATGAAATTTATCCGTTGGAAATTTTTTCAAAAGTCATTTGGTTTGATTTGAACTTCAAATGACGTGTTTCCTTGCCTTCCAAAGTTATCCACTCTTTTTAGAAACTTATCTGAATTTTATCTCTTATTCTGATGTAAATGGTTTGAACCAGAAAAATGTAGTTCAAACCAAAATTGTAACTTTTCAGATTTTGATTTTTCGTAAATGATTCGAATCATATAATTATGATTCGAACCAAAGTTACACTTTTTCAAATGCATTCTGCGCAATTGCTTCGAATCAACTTTTTGTGGTTTGAACCCAAATCTTGGAAATATTTTGAAAATTCTTCAACAAAATTCTGGGTTATTAACATGTGCTTCGTTACTGTTTGCAGACTCTTAGCTCATTAGCACTTGTTTTTGCTCTTCACCATTACAAGCCTACCCCACTCTATGTCATGGACGAAATTGATGCTACTCTCGGTACACTTTTTGAACCATGAACCATTTTCTTTTCCTTTTTCTTATAATATATGTGTATATTTCGCCTTCTTCTATCCTCAGTCACCTAAAT